ATAATTGAATATTAGAAACAATATAGCGTAAATTTTTAGAAATAATTGAATTTTGAAATTAATTTTTTTTTGAAAAAGTTTAATTGAATTTTTTTAATATTATTTTAAATTTTTATTTTCTAACATATATTTAATTGAAGAATTTACGAATAATTAAAAAATTTTGTAAAATTGAATATTGTAAACAAATACATTTGAAAATTGTCAAAGAACTTTTTTGAGAATTATTAAAAATAATCGATTTAATGACGAATTTTAGTTGAAAATTCTTAATATTTAATAACTGAATTGATAAATAATGCTTTTATCACTGGGTCATCTTTAATTATTATAAAACATGAAGAAATTGACCACTCCGAGTGTTCGACTCGGAGTTATCGATATCTTCATGTTTTATAGAATTATGAAAAATTTAATTTATAGTTTTAAATAAAATGTTCTCTTATTTGACTCGGACTGGTTATATTTTTGTCAGTAATTGATCCGTAAAGTCTGTATTTTTAAATACTTTCACTGGTTCGAGCCTTGCCTGTGAAAAAAATATGATTTTGAATAATTTCTTAAGGATCATCAGTCAGAGACATTATGAGCAAATATCTGCGACAGATTTCTTTATCAATCAGTTGACAGAAAGTGATTTACAAAACTCGCTAAAGTTAATTTAAAAATTGTTAAAGATTAGTGCAATCAGGCTAAACTATCTGCAAATTCGTAAAAAGCTAATACCGTCATCTGCACTTGGAAATAGTGATCCTAAATATTACAAAAACAAGTATTTTATGAAAAAGAAATTTCATTTTCCGATTCGAAAAAGTATTCTGTAGATGATCTTGGATAAGAAGCTGAATTGGGAGAAATATCTCGATTATTAGTGATGGCAGATTCTTTACTGCTCATGGATTTGCAGAGGGGTGATAGGATCTGCTAAAATCGCCCTAGCATGGTTGCAAGTGGCAATAACAGATGATTCTGAGTACACTAGATTTCTGCACCTGGCACTCTTGTTTAGTCGATTAGGACTCGACTCATTACGGTGATAGGAGAATTAGATCAAGTCCAATGGTTTTTAGATTAATTACGGTCGAAATAGGAGAGCTGTAGGTCTGTCTTGCTTTGCGGCTTCATTCCTGGCAGAATCCTCCAATGAGATGTGTGGAGATTCGGGATATTTGACAGTTTACGAAAAATAGAGAAATTCAATAGCGGATTTCGATGCAGATGATTTATTTCAATATTTTACTATGTTAAATTTTGTTATTAACAAATTTTTTATATTACAAGTTAAACTAAACTAACTAACTAAACTTTATTACAAGTTACACTAAACATCTAGATGTGAAATATTTGAATTTTATACATCTGGAGAAGAACTTGTGTTTAGATAAACAACCTCAATTATTTTGCGAAAGATTTTCCGAAAACCAAAGAAAATCTTAGTCTACTCAACTACTATTAGCATAAAATAGCCAACTAATTATCAAACCAGTGTAGAATTTTTGAAATAGATGATGTAACTTCAGTTTTTATTTTAAGTCCAGCTTTGGTCCAGTATTTGTTAAATTTGAGTAGATTACCAACAAACCTAAAAATGTAAAAATACTAGAGGAAATATTAGCTTTCGGTGTTCTTACTTTCTACTTTCTACCAGAATAAAATTTTGCATCTGGATCATAACACAGGCTGACTAAAATTTCAATTTTCAATGAATTTAATTAGAAATTTTAAACAACTTGGCTTTTTGAAACATTTTAATAATTTAAATTCTTCTGAAGCTAGTTAAATTTTTTAGTAAATATTTAATTAATTATTAAAAATAATGGATTTATAGAAGAATTTTAGTTAAAAAGACTGAAAAATTGAATGTTGGAGAAGTTACAAATAATTGCAGAAATTCAAATTATTAATAAAATTTTTCTTCGAAATTCAATTATTTTCAAAAATTGTAATAACATATTCTACACAAACATTCAATTATTTTCATAAATAATAAAAATTTCACTGGAATTCAAATAGTTACAAATTTCTTTATAATAATAAATAATAAAATAAATAAATAATAAAATTGTAAATTTCTTCGTAATAATTCAATTATTTTCATAAATAATAAATTTTTTACAGAAATTCAATTATTTTCATAAATAATAAAATTTTTTACAGAGCTTCAATTATTTTCATAAATAATAAAATTTTTTACAGAGCTTCAATTATTTTCATAAATAATAAATTTTTTACAGAAATTCAATTATTTTCATAAATAATAAAATTTTTTACAGAGCTTCAATTATTTTCATAAATAATAAAACTCATTGCACAATTTAAATTATTTCTAATGCAATTTTAATCAGATTCCTCGAAAAATGTAAATATTCTTAAAATTTTTATTAAAGTTCTTCGAAAGGATTCAATTATTTAAAAAATTGTTGATAAAATTATTTATGGGAATTAAATTTTGAGAAACATTCAATTATTCAATAAATTATTTATTTTTATATTTATAAATAATTGAATTCTCGTAGAATTTTCTGATAAAAATTGATTTAAAAATTAATTTAAGTTAAAATTTTACTTTATAATTGAATATTAAAAGAATTATAGCGAGAATTTTCAGAAATAATTGAATTTTGAAAAAGTTTCAAATTAAAATCTTTGAAAATTTGAATTTCTTATACTTTTTACTGGCAATTCTTTAATTTTTTTGATAAAGGTTAATTCATTTTTTTTTTAATTATTTGAAGTTTTTATTTTCTAATATATATATATTTAATTGAAGAATTTCTGAATAATCAAAATTTCGTAAAATTGTATTCTTAAAGTTTGTTAAATTTCAAAAAAATTTGAATTTGAAATTTTTGAAAATCTTAATTCCTATGGAAAAATAATATTGATTAAATATTAATTTAAAAAAGAAGTTATTAATGTTTTTGAATAATTTTACAATTGTAGAAATTTGTAAATAAATGTAATAAAACATTTTTTCGAGTATTTAATAATTTTTAAAGTGAATCATACACGGAGAGTGAATATATATTTAATTTTGTATACGTATTTTACAAATTTGGTAAAAAGTGCGACAAAGAGAAATTTTCATATAAAAAATACTAAAGTTTAAAAAAACTGATGTGAAATTTACTATAATTATATCAAATATCAAGAATATTAATAAAATTTTAATATAACTTTACTAAATTCCACATAAGTTTTTTTAAAGTTTGCTATTTTTTATATCAAAATTTTGCTTTGTCGCACTTTTTCCCTAATTTGTAAAATACTTTTACAAAATTTAATATATATATTTTCTCTCCGTGTAGGGTCAGGGAAAAATTCAAAATTTTGTCCGGACATATCAGGGAAAAACAAAATTAAAATTTTTGTGGCAACCCTGCAAGAACCAGACTATACTGTTTTGAAGGTTTTTGAAAGTTTAAAAAAATCTTTATTTGGTTCTGAAATTTCGCCTTTTGGAGTTTTAGAAGTTAGTGATATATTATGTAAATATGTAATACTGAGTACAATCAAATAGAGCTTCAAAAATAAAGAATAAAATAACAAACTCGTAATATTTGAGTGGTATTTTAGATTTTCTTTGTCGACGATCACGTATTTGAAGTCTGAATTGCAAAAATCAAAATGGCGGATTCAACATGGCGGACGAATTTCCAAAAACTCAACGGATTCGTTTAAAAATCATTACTCGGGAGTTTTGGGGATCGCTGATTACTAATCTGATAATATATTTTTAAAGTTCAAAATGGCGGATGTAGTATGTCTACTAAAATGTTTAAAAATTGTCCAGAATAGCTTAAAACTCAGTGTCAAATGCTCGAAACATAATTTTATTTTATTTTCAAGTTCTTAACTGAACCAGATAAAGGTTTTTTCAAATCTCAAAAGGTTTTTTTTTAAAGTAGAAGAACGGTATACTTTCAGAAGACGCTACGAACTTTCAGAAAAAAAATTTTTCTTGGTGTTAAATGACAAAAAATTGTCAAAAATAATGTGTTTTAACACTTTTAGAGGTTAAAATATCTGAAAAACTGAACTGGAAAATTTTGAGGTCAGATTCGAATTGAAGCAAACTCACAGTGTAGAAAGTACTTAACTTCTGGAGGAAGATGGTTCTCTAGATAGGCTATACCTATTTTACAATCTAACCGAAGTTTGCCTCTCGAGCAAAAATTCAAGAATCCCCCTTCACCCCCGCCCCGCCTCCTCAATTACTCTCGCAATAAATATTTGTCTTAATTTAGCATTTTCCCTTACCATTTCTCAGAAACGTGACAAGTTAAAATGAATTTTGAAAGTGGAACATGCGCTTATTAGAAATTCTTGGATTATTTGAAAATTTGTATTCGCCCGTATTATTCAAGGAAGACGGGGGAGGATTTAGAAAGTAAAGGGTTTGATGCGGTGAGAGGGTGTAATTTTCTAAGATTAACGAGAAGACAAAGCTGGCAAGTGGAATGCACTTCGTTTTGTGATAAAAAGCAGAAAGGCGAAAAATATTTAATTTCATTAAAAAACGTGCGCTCCTTCTTTTTTTTCTTGAAAATAATTTATTTTGTTCCATTTTTCATTAACGGCGCTCATATATTTATTTTTTTAAAGTCCGTCTAATTTTAGAGTAAAGAAAATAATAGTAAAATAATAGAAAATGTAGGTACTGCTTTTTAATTAAATTATTTTAAGAATTGTAATTATTATTTTTAATTTTAGCCGAGACCGTTACGAAAGTTTAGTTTCGTTTTAGTTTCTAAGTTGACATAATAAATTAAATTAACAAACTGAGTTTAGTTTCGTGTCGACTCGAAACTAAACTTTAAGTTTTTTGGACTTAAGTTTCGAGTCGACAGGAAACTAAATAAAACGTAAATTTTAATTTACATAGTTTCGTTTCAGAAACGGTGCCTGAATTTTAGGAATTAGTTTCGAAAATTTTAAGAATTAGTTCATTATTTCATTTCTGCAAAAAATAATGAAGTTTTTGTGTTTCTTTGTTTCAGGCGAACGATGAATCGCAAATCGGGAATGTAGAACCTAGCAGGATCGAAGGAAGGTCCTTTCCTCCACCTTCTTCATCACTTCATTGTCACCTCATCCTTGACCACCAACCTCACATCCATTGCTTCGACTTGGAAACTGTAAGTAATTTATTTTTTTTTCATCTAAACATCGAAAAAAGTGTTTTTTTAATTTTTGAACCATTTTTAACTCAGGCTTCACATCGCCTCCCCTATTTTTCTTCTATTTTAAAAATATTACCCTTTTCTCTATAAATAATTCCCCTTTTTTTCCTTTTATCTTTTTTGTACTTATTTTCCCTATTTTATGTTTCAACTAAAATTTAGTGGAGCTGATTTATTGGAAAAATTACGAAGATTCTTTATCTTTCTACAAAAAATATGCTTTTGAATAAAAATTAATTAGTTCTTATGTTAATAAACGAAATTCAACTATAAAATTTGAAAGTATAACTAAAATATTTCGATTTATTTTCTAAACGTTAGAAACAAAATTTTTTGTTCGAATATTTAATTTGGATAGTTTTGAAAAAGGGTTTTTTTCAATTCAAATAAATTTCGTCTTCAATTTAAAAAATGATTTTAAAAAAACGATTTCTTTCTTTCAAACAAATCTTTTTTTTTTTGGTGCATATAGTTTGACTTATTCTTTCGGTTTTGGTAAATATTCCAGAATGAAAATAAATATAAACTTATTTTTTTTTTAAACAAAAATCAAGTATACTACTAGGATCACTTTTCTAAAATACGAAATATTAGAGCAAGAGGAAAAATTATATTTATTCAAAAAGTTTTTCTCGCAATGCTGCTGAAGAATAATAATTGTAAATATACACAGGAAGAAAATATTTGTTTTTCAATTATAAGGGACCGAAAAATAAATATTTTCTGAGAATATGTAAACTTCCTCTCGAGTGAGTTTTGCTTGCGCAAACTTTAGATGTTGGCCAAAGGAGAAAAATTTTGAATTTATCCATCGCGTGTGAAATCGAATAGAATAAAATTAAAAAAAAGAAGAGAATCAAGAAACTCTTTTTTTCTTTAAATTTTAAAAATTTGAAGTTTAAATTTAACATTTACTTATTTTCATTGTTTTTGATTTTTAGTTTCTTTCCTTCATTTTCTAAGGAATAATATTAAAGGGAAGTTAATAACTGTCAAAGTGTTAGTAATTGCATTTTCTATTTTTGGTATCGCGAAGAAATTTCTCTCATCAGTCAATTTTGTTTCTGCGGAGGTATATTATACATATATATATATATATATATGTACGTTCGTATATAACTCTCGCAGACAATATGAATGGCTCGTCGTGCAAAACTCAACCGGCTAGAATTCAGTTATCTAATTGTATTATTAGCTTTACTTAGCGTATCTATATTAGACCACGAACGCGATTCAAATGGAACAGTAAATTTGTATTTCATACTTGCATTTGACAATATACTATATTTAACGTACGTCAATATATATATATATATATATATATATATATATATATATATATATTCCTCTTATCGATAAATTAGAAAAATTATTATTCCCTCAAAGTATTTTGAATGCATTTAATAGCACTTGATTGATAATGAAATTATTTTAAAATGATGCATAAGATTTAGAATATTGAACAATATTAGTGGAAACAATAATAATTTAATTTCCTTACTTCACTCAAAAAATGATTCATTTGATTCAAAGAAATTTTGTTTAAATTAAAATTAAAATATCTTTGCTATACAGTTGAACATATTTAAGTTTAATTGAAACATTTTTTTTGGTTCATTTAAAAAAATAATTTATTTAATACAAAACATAAGTTATATGGTTGATTTTAAATTATTTATAATCAACTTTTAAGTTTGAATCAAACTTGAAATTTTTAAACGTATATTTTCTGTTTAAACCAAAACAGAAATTATGTTTGAATTAAATATAATTGTTAAAACAAATAATATTTTTGAATTAAAGCAGTAGATATTTTTTCTATATTGGGATTAAGCTTATAAACTAATTTTACTTAAACAAAATTACTTAAATTTTTGTTTCTCAGTGCAGCACTTGGGCAGCTGGTCAATATTTATAATTTTAAATCTATTTCTAATTTAGTTTCACTTACTTTTCAGTAGTACAACTTTGTATTTCGTCAGACATTACGTGAATAAATAGAAAAATTCTTTACAAAAATTCAATTATTTTTAAGAATTTTAAAAAAATTCTTTACAAAATTCCATTATTTTCATAAATAACAATATTCATCGCAAGAATTTAATTATTTTCAAAACTAATAAAATTATTCGAAGAAATTTAATTATTTTAAAGTTTTAACAATTTGAACGAATATCTCGTCAAGAGTTTAATTATCTTTATAAATAGCATTTAAATAAAATTCTTTGCAAAATTTCAATTATTTTCAAAAGTTTTTCGCAATTCAATGATTTTCAATATTTACTATTTTCATAAAATTTATCAAATAATTTAATTATTAAAAAAAAATTTTGTTACAATTATACGTAAACATTAAATTATTTTCATAAATGATAAAATTTCATAAAGGAATTCAATTATTTTCATCGAAAAATTTCCAATATTTTTTATACAATTTTAAATTAATTTAAGATTTAAATAAATTCAAATTTAATAAACATTCCATTATTCAATAAAATAATAAAATTCGTTGCAATAATTCAATTATTTTCATAAATAACTTTTCATCCCTCACTGCAAATTAATTATTTTCAACGATTTTTAAGTAATTCTGCAAAAGAATTCAATTATCTTAATAAACAACAAAGTTTTCCACATGAAATCAATTATTTTAAGGAATTTTTAATTCTTTTGAAAACTAATAAAATACTTTCCGAAAATTAAAATATTTTCAAAATTTTTAAAAAATTCCTGTTAAGAATTAAATTAGCTTTTTTATAAATAAATAGCGAAAATCTTTTCAAGAATTAAATTATTGTCAGAAATTTTAATAATATTCTTGGCAAAATTTCAATTATTTAAACGAAATTTAATCAAAATTCTTCGCATAAATTTAATTATTTTCATATATTATTATTTAAATTCTTCTCAGGGATTCAATTGTTTTAAAAAATTTTAATAAAATTCAAAAAGTTTTCAATTATTTTCAAAAATTGTTATAAAATTCTTTAATATGATAAATTTCAGTAAAATTTCAATTAAATTCCTTAAAAGAAATTAATTATTTTTAAAAGTTGTTAATGAAATTTTTTGTAAAAATTAAATTCTAAAAAACATTTAATTATTGAATAAATTATTTATTTTTGTATTTAAATAATTGAATTCTCGTAGAATTTTCTAATAAAAATTGATTTAAAAATGAATAATTTCAGTTAAAGTTTTAGATAATAATTGAATATTAAGAGCATTAGGGGGGAATATTTAGAAATAATTGAATTTTGAAAAGGTTTCGAATTCAAATCTTTGAAAATCAGAATTTGAAGTTGTTGATGTTTTTGAATAACTTTACAATTAAAGAAATTCGTAAATAAATTTATTGGACCTGTTTTCAGCATCTAATCATTTTTAGAGTGAATCAGAATATTCTTTTCTGGTCAGGGAAAAAGTTAAAATTTTGTCTGAAAATCAGGGAAAAATAAATATTATTATAAAATATAATTTATAATAAATTGTAAAACGCATGTTTATTAATTTGAATTATTGACTAACTTTTTGATTTTGAATTAGTAAATTTTACTAATAAATTAGCAGAAATGACAAATTATTTATTAGTCAAATTTACTAATTCAAAAGCAGAAGGTTAGTCACTAATTTAAATTAGTATAAACAGCTGCTTAGGAAATTTATTAATTGTTTTTCTTGGTCTTTCTATATTTATTAAGTACGTATAATTTTCAGTAGTACTCATCCGTATTTAGTCAGATATACTAAAAGTTAACAAATATTTTGAAAAATGGAAATATTTCAAGTACAATATAAATCAACACTCAATATTATTTTGAAATGTTTTCTTTGGGAGGTTAAGTTTTATTAGGACATAATTTTAAGTAGTATAGGTCCGTCTTGAATCAGACACTTAAAAAATAACTAAATACACTTTTTCCAAAGTTCTAGAATTTTAAGTAGTATAAGACAAGGATTTATCAGAATATTTTTACTTTTCGTTAGTTATAATTTATTTTCAAAAAATAAATCAGTAGTGTAACTATGTATTTAGTTAGGCATAATAGAAATTACTAAATATTTTGAGAAATTGGAATATTTCAAGTATTAATGCATCATTTATTATTTTATTTAGTCCAGTTGAAGTCTTTTACTTCTAGAGACTTTAATTTTATTATTTGTTGCTTGCCCTTTTTTTCTTCGATTTTATGTAAGTTCTAGTGTATAAGGTTACAGAATAATTTTTTAATTAATCAATTTAGTTATAGTACAAAAGTTTGTAGCAGAAAAGATAATTAAAAATAGTTATCTTCTAAAAATTACTGTATTTTTTTATTGTTCATCTGGAATTTGCTCATTTCTGTCAACTTTTACTATTTTCAAAATGAATTTTGCTACGCTCGACCTAATTTTAACGAAAATGTACTTCGATCGTATAGCAACTTTCACTCCAAAAATAGTAAAAACTTAAAAATTGCCAAAAATGAGCACAAGTTTTTGTCAGTGTGAGTTTTACTTTGAAAATAGTAAAAGTTTATTCATTTTCTTCGTGTAGAATATTTTAATTAAAATTCATGAAAGTCTGAATATACCCAACGAATCTGAAAATAGAATAAATATAATTTTGAAGTAATTTGAGAAAACATAAAAAAGTTCTGATTTAAAAATATAAAATATATGTTCGAACAACAGAATTTCGGGTAATCGAGATTCTACTGTATAATTAATTATATTTAATAAATATTAATTAACAAATTATTAATTAGCTAAATACCGACAAGAAGAAATTAATTACAACCACGTAATATAATCCCGAAAACTGAAATGTGCTTTCAAAAAAAAAAAAAAAAAATCTCTGCTTGTTACTACAACTCTGTTTTGTTAGAGCTTTAGGTTCATGAAACAAATGAACGTTAATTACTATTCAAGAGGAGCATTCATTATGATTCGGGTGATAAAGCTGTATATATGGG